TTAAGAGACATTTGGAAAGCAATCTTTTTTTTCCCCAAAGGAAAACTTGGCCTGATTCAAAAGAGCACTGGCTGTGAAACAACATCATTTATTAGACTGTGTCAAAATGGTCGATAAGTACATGTAGGTAACGTATATGCCAATGAAGCTTCTTAAAAAGACAAGAAAATGTCAGGCGCCTTCATCCAACAGACAAAGAAATACTGACAATATGTCAGATGACATGGGTTACTATTTCACAAAGAAAGAACGAATACAGGAGTGAAAACCAGCTCTATACTCTTAACATTTGAACAGCACTGGAGTTACTGCTAAAAAGTTTTTTTCCCCTCAGTTATAGTGATGAATATCTCAGTGTGACACCAAATCTTTAATCAATAAAGCTGTCTGACAGGCTGTGCAATCGGTTTAAATGCTATGAGTGTGTGTGTGTTACTGAACATTCAGAAAATCTAGCCTGGGTTATTAAGGTACAGACACTAGATTTTAACTTCAGCTTTACTTTCTATAACCACATTTTGCTGCTTTTTTAGAAGCTTTTAATTAAATCTTAGAAATATTTTTTAAGTAGCATACAAAGGTGGCATAGTGGTTAGCACTGTTGCTTCACATTAAAGGAAGGTCCTGGGTTCAAATCTGCTATCTGGACAGGGCCCTTCTGTGTGGAGTTTGCATGTTTTCCTCATGTCTGCATGGGTTCTCCCTAGGGCTGTTCGATATAATGATATATATCGGATGACAATATAAAAAGTCTATCGTTGCATTTTATGCTATTGTTTGTTTCGTGGTGTCGCAAAATAAACTGTTTACGGCAATATTTTTTCACTGTTTTGATGGTCACTGTAGTGGCTATATTAATTTCTTAAAGTTCTCTCTTTCTCTTATATTTAATATAACCACACTACAGACAGACAAGCGCCTGTTTTTAGGCGTTGTGGTTAGCAACAACGATGGTAACACCATCGCGTGTCCGCTTGTTTATGTTCCACATAAACCTTTCACAATAAAGCTCAGGATCCTGTTGAGACTTTTCAAAATAAACTGAATCACGTGAAAGAGCAGATTATTTACGGATGAGAAGTAAAAAAAAAAGACACCAGGTGCTAAAAAATAAACCTTAGACTCAAACGTTAGAACAGGCTTTTCCCTGCAGCACGACGTGTAATAAATACAAAGAAAACGGCGGCTGTTACAACTTATGTCTAAAAATATATAGTTTCATACATTGTTAAAACACTGGACTCCAGGTACGCGACGCCTAGCTGGAAACACTTCCCGCAAGTCGAGCTGCCAGAGAGTCACAGAATTTACAGAAAATGTTACATTTTTGTGATTTATATCGTTATCGGGACGATAGAATTCAAATATCGGGATATGAGATTTTGGTCATATCGCACAGCCCTAGTTCTCCCCAGATACTTCAGCTTTCTCCCACAGTCCAAAGGCAGGCAGTGGGATCAGATTAATTGGTGATTATAAACGGGGTGCAGGTGTGAACTTAAGTATGAATCGCTGAATGCCTCTATGTGATAGCCCTGTGACAGACTGATGAACTGTCTAATGTGTACCCAGCCTCTGGCGTTATGGCAGCTGGGATAGGTTTACACTTTACCTGAAAAGTGAAGTACTGCAGTGACATTTTCTTTCCCTGTTTTTCTCAATCTTAAATTGAAGATTCTCTTTCTTTGCAAAATCTGATATTGAATTAATTAAGCTAAAAGTGGTGTTTTTTTTTTTTTGTTTGATTTAATCAGCTCTTTCTACAAGTTCACATTACTGGACACAAGAACTGGTCAATTTTTATCCTTTGACAGCTCGGAACTGCCTTGGACAGCTGGATGAAAACTTGTGGCACATGTGTCAAAGCCCAGCCTTTAACACTGAGCTTTATGAGTCAGTGTCAGACACCTTACCTGTTCAGGTCTGCAGACAAAGCAGAAGATAAACATCTCTTCAGCTGATCCTTGTGTTTGCGCTCTTTGACCTGGAATTCGAGTCTCGCTGCCTCACTGGTGATCATGGTGTGTTATGTTCTCTAAAAGTGAGACAAGAGGGAAGACACACTTCAGCTTGTGAACTCAAAGGTGTTCTGGTGGAATGGGAACCACATCTTCCAGTGGCATGCTGTGTGCACACTATGACAAAGTGAGGCAGATCATCACAAACTGTGACAACTACACCAACAAGGATCACCTGACAAGTGCTGTCACATAGTCCAGGACAACAAAAGGCTACTGCGTTCACCTTTTTTCCCGTAATCATATGCTGCAATACCATCTTTCTCCACAGTCGCTGACTCATATTCGCTTTCCTTTTCTATCCAAAGAGGCGCTGTTAGCAAAGTTTAGCGAAATCAATGAAACCTGGAAGAGGTGACCGCAATAACGACAGAAAATCACCACGTTACGTGACCGAGAAATTTATTTAGCCGTACCCTTAAAAAGGATGATGATGTTATCCATGGTAAAATACCTGCTTTCGTGTGTTTCCAACAGAAAACACACCCAGCACCGCAAATATTAACCAGTGTCTGTTTGTGTGAAGTTTAATACTCAATAAAGCAATCCTTTTACAAAATTAAATACACGGAGCCCAAATTCACCTGCTCTAGCTCAGGTGTTTCCTCGTTCTCTGTGGGCTCCAGTTGGTACTGTAAGCAAATCAATCTCATTTTCCTCTGGCTGCTAGCATGCTAGCTACGAGGAGCTACCGTTAACAGTAAGCTACCCCCTTTAACCTTTAACTACCCTCGTCAAAAAATACACCTGCACAAATTAACTCCAGTCGATAGCTGCCTGCGAGCACGAGGCCCGGTAACTGCTCGTTAAGGATAAAATAAATGAATATGCTGACCCACTGACCAATGTTGTTGACATCACTGCTACACGCTGTTCGCCACCCACTACGACGCGGTTTGTCAAACGAAAAAGGAGTGGACAAGCCGGAAGCTTCGGAACATGCGCAGTACACCTAAAAAGCTACCTAGCTAAAGAAAATGATGCATTCACGTACAGCCTCTTCTAAACAGACAAACACAAGAATGGACGGGTTTGTTTGGTTTGTTTGGGTGAATACTTCAGAGATGAGAGACATGGAATGTAGCTCCACATTTTGAAATCTATTTTCTTTTATACAGTAGAAGCGATGATAAATACAGAAAGAATGAAAGCACGCTAAAGTGACATTAGCAAGAGAAAAACCTAGAATTATCAAACAACTAGAAGGTGGAGGGTCGCGTACTGGAGCGGGCATATATGGCAGGAATATGAAGATTTCAACACATTTAGAAAAAAAAACATAATTATGAAAAGTTAGAGTGAAAACCCACCGATAAATATTTCATATTTTATTGTGGTTCACAGTGTCATATAAAAATTGTTGCTTTTGAAAAAGCTAAAGGTTTTTTTGTTTTTGTTTCAAATATGCATACATTATAATATCCGGTTAATAGAAACCTGAAAATATAAACCTGTTTTCTACTGAGTTACCGGAGTCAGTGAAGGCAGCAAATGAACTAGCTCGCCTTAGTAGCATTTACGTCATTGTTCCATCCCGGATTATTAGTCCGAGTTTATGATGCCACTGTACAGTACTGTACATGAGAAAAATTGATAAATACGAATAATGTAGCACTGGGCATAGACTCGGTATAATCACTATATATGTGAGAATGAAAGTAAACGGTAAACTTTCTAATAACTATAGTGCTGTTTTACATATTATTTATGTAGATACTTGTTATATAGGAATATATAATGTTTATTGTATTCTCAAAACGTAAGTCATTCATGAGGGCAACATTTGATTATTCAGAATGTAAAAAACTGCACCTAACCTAAATTGCAATTATTGAGATTTCTACATAAATATATATAAAAACCATGAAAATATTGTGTCCCATGGTGTGAAACATGCTGTACCTGAACAGCAGTGAGTGAGTGTGTGTTGGCAAAGCGATAAGACCTGTATAAAAAGTAAACCATAACAAAATGCAATGATTTGCAATTTTTCATTTCATGAGGTTCAAAAAGTTCTGAGTTGGAAGCAAGTATAGGCCAGTTCAGCACCCGACTATTCTACTACTAAGTATACTCCAGATACTTCAAATCTTATGAAAACTTTATGTACTGTCAGTGATGAGATATTCAGTCTTTATAAGTTTATGCTGAGGAACATTATTCTGAAAATGTTCCACAATTTTTTTGTAGGTTAGTCAACCTCTACCCAAGCATTTCTGAGACACTCTTCCCCTCTAAGATGCTCATTTTATACCCAGTCATGTGACTGACCTGCTACGAGTTAACCTAATGGTAAATGGCCTGTATTTGTATAGCACTTTACACATCCAGTCATCCACCCATTCACACACTGGTGATGGCAAGCTACATTGTAGCCCGACCGAGACTGTCCAAGCCCAGGCTTGAACCGGCAACCTTCAGATTACAAGGCAAACTACTAACTCTTGAGCCACGATCGCCCGTAATGTTACAGTTTGTTCCTTCAGTTGTCTTTTTAGTACCGCTTACACTCGCTGCCTTTTGTTGTCTTTCTCTCAACATTTTAAGGAAGTGTTTCCGTCATCAAATTCAAAATTAGCCAATCCTTGTCATGGAACAGTAAAATGTCTCAGTTTACACAATATGTTTTCTGTGTTATATTGCGAACAAAATATGGGTTTATGAGATTTGCAGATCATTGCATTCTGCTTTCATTTATACAGCGTCCCAACTTTTTTTGGAATCGGGTTTGTAAATATCTGTCTGATGAACACATCTCACCTTATTTCCACATGAACATTTCTGTTTGCACACAGTGGAGGTATAAATATGCAGTGCCACTCAGCTCTGTGCTATATTTAACAGAGCATCCATTGCTATTTCTGGTGGTTCTTTTTAAATCTGAGACAGTAACAGACACACAGAGGGGCATCTGGAGGTTTTCTGCTTTTAACTTCAAATCCGTTATTATCTTTTTTTTAAAAAGCAGTGAAGTCTGACAGTTTGACACTTAGTTTATTTATAAAATCAAATGGTGTAGACCTGGCTCAGTGAATTTCAAAATGCAGTGTGTAGGAAGAGATACAAAATAGTACAATAGTCAACCATCACTGACATTTCTATACAGGAAGATAGCATTCTCTACATTTGAGCATTAATCTTCGAGGGGAAAAAAAAAAGCTCCTTTCAGCAACACTACCTGATAAAGGGAGTGGGAGGGTTACGCCTCCCAAAGGACTGTGCCCAAAGTGGAGTGGAGCGACCCGTTGAAACACACAAGTATAGCAGGCGACGCCACATCCCCAGTCTCGCAGGACATCGTTACACTGCGACAGCTCGAAAGTTAAAAAGGCACCACACAATACAAGTCACAAAGGAGATTCTGCCACACATTTGTAATGCTGAAACCGACAAACTTTAAGGCGGATGTCGTGTGCAAAAAACATCTTGAATATGTGTCACGCGTACTGTTCGGTGTCCTCTCTGGTGAAGTGTGCTTTGATTTCTTCCTTTACGGCTGACTTCTTTAAAAAATATCTGAAACATGTGAAAGATTTAAAGAATGATTGCATTATCACTATGTTGCTTGGTGTCACAGGCACATTCCAGGCTTCCAGGGAGTGAGTGGGGAGAGGAGAGGTGCTGGAGGAGGCCTCGCTGTGGATTTAGTTCCTGTAGCTTTTACGTCCCTCGCCCTCCTTGAGGAAGGTCCATATGAGGGTGTTTACGATATCGGGCTGGTCCTGCTGCAGCCAGTGACTGGCCCCGGAAATGATGTTAAGACGGAAATGATTCCTGATGTAGAGGCGGCAAGCCTCGGCCATTTCCTGTTCCAAGAAGGCATCCCGCTCTCCCCACAGCAGCAGCACCGGAGACCTGACGTGGTTATGGCTCAGAGGGAGGGAGCTACAGAAAGAAAGGAGCGACATGAAAAGCCTTCAGTTGATCACATTCGTCCCATATTCTCTTCACTGGCTTCCTGTTATCTCCAGAATTTACTTTTAAATCCTTCTCCTTACATACAAAGTTCAGAACAATCAGGCCTCATCGTATCTCACACGACCTCAGAGTACCTTATTATCCCGACAGAGTACTTCTCTCTCAGACGGCACAAAAACTTCACAAAACTATATTTATCCCAGCAACATTAAACTATATTTAATGTAGCTAGGATTGACTCCGAGCTCCTCACAACCATGTTAAGGATAAGTGGAAGAGAATGGATGGATGGAGGGATTCATGTCCATTCATGTCATGTACCAGATTTCCGATGGACCCGCAGCACCTGGGTCTTAATTTAACATCCTGTTCTGTAGTATCACAGTTGTTAAACATCACATGCAGTACGGCACGCTTCTGCCGAGACGTCCTCCAGCCTCCATCCTGTCTCAGACCAGAAAGCAGATATACATTTAAAAGGATGTCTGAATGTTGACTGTGCATTCACCTATTTTTGTCCCCTCTGCATTTAGGTATGCTATCCACGAACAGACAGACTAAGTGGGCATGGGTCACTGAGATTTCTTTTACGTAAGCATACAAAAGCTACTCTGAGATAACTCATTGCTTGAGAAGGGAGCAGATGGCCCGCTCAGCCATGCATGTATAGGTCACATGTCAAAATTGCATGCACTGAGATTTTCTTTGATCTCGTTTATGCGGACCATTGTTTGCCAGTAAACATGTAGGAAAGATGTGAATGTGAATATGAGACAGTATTGTAGCACTGACAGAAGCAGAGGCTCAGTTTTCTGTTCCCCCAGAGTTCTGACAGTAGATGGTGCTACTAAATGCAAACTACACAACAAAAGCCTCGTTTATCCTTGGAGCGTAGAACATAACGTTTATTAAACTGACACAACTGAAAATTACTTTTCAAGCATGAACAAAAACTCAACGAGTAAAAAACATTTAAAACAGCTATTTTCTGCTATGTGTCTGGCAGTTTACTGCTCATTTATTTTGCAGCTGACATGACCGTGGCAGTCACAGCTGAGACTGTGGTGCCAAAACACTGGGCCTGTCCTTGCACCTCATCGTGGAGCGCTTTCTCTGAATGTTTAGAACTGAACTGTGCATACTGCTGATCTTCAGTATTCCTATTTTAATGTAAGAGAGCAAACTTTTATTTGGTGTGTTTTTAACAGCTTTTTAGCTTTAATATTATTCTTTGATATCTTATAAATCATACAGATTTTGCTTAACACATATGACATATCACTGTTATATAGAGATTTTAAAAATCCTTTCACATAATCCATCCTTGGCTGAGTGAATTCCCCACCTGAAGACATTCCTGTAATAGTTGAGGGCTCCTGTTAGAGCTCCCGGTTGTGAGAGTGCGTACAGGTAGGCTTCCAGATCCTCTGCGGTGAGCCATCGGCCTTTCCTGCCGATCCCTGTGCTGCGGCTGGTGAACAAAGCCTTCAGAGCCTGCAGCAGAGACACAGCAGCAAACACTGAGTGAGGTTTGCATGGGCGGTACGTTCTGATCTAGACAGCATTCACTGAAGGACGTCCATGTCGCTGTAACGCGAGTCAGAAAAGGTACTTCTGTGGTGAAATCAGCTCTGATGACCTTCAGTCACAGCTCTGGCTCTCTGACTCTCTGCTGGCTCGACGACACTGCATGCTGTGCACCAGCGCGAGCATATGGCAGCATTCTTTCATTTAATTAGCAAAACTCTGACATATTGATTATACTAGGTGATATAACACCAGTGTCTTAGAAATGCTTAAATAATTATAAAGCAAGGAATTTAAATAGAAAGTAGTTTTTAGTTTTACAGTGACATTAAACTCACAATAAGCGGAGATTTGAGTTTGAGGTGGTTTGGATGAGTGTTTGTCATATTTTGGCTAACCTTTCACCTTTTCTCTATTTCCTGCATGTGTGATGTGCAAATCAATGATGGTATACTGTAGAAATCCTCAGCCTGTGGTGAAAACTGCAGGGAAATCTGGGCAGTTACAAAAAGGAAAGACTTGGTTTGAGGTGTTTATCATTGTTTTAAACTAACAGCAATACACACACAGACACAGCAAGCTGTCCTCGTTTCAACACATCAGCATTTTCTCTGTGTCTTTGCTTTCACAACAACTGATTAACTGCGTATGAGGTGTTTAGTAGTCTGTAAATTGTAGCTACAAAAAATAACCCGAGGCACTGCTCTATGCGCTATGTGTTAATTAGCTGTTGATGAACCGAGTCAGGTTAGTCTTTATTTTCAGTCTACATGCTAACTCTAAGGTAAGCTAAGCTCCCAGCTGTTGCTTAATATTTAATGAACAGACATGAGAACAGTGGCAACCTCACATCAAACTCCGGGAATAATCAAGCACCGGAAATACTGAGAGAACAACTAGAATCTGATCACTGAAAGATAAAATACAAACTGTGTGTATTTGTAAATCTTCTAACACGAAGACAAGATAATATTAAGTACAATTACTTTTAAACAATGGGAAGAAGAAGATAACAAAATTGAGAAAATAAGAAATTAAATGATTAATTACTAACAATATTTTAAAAATCCGGATATTATTTTGTAATAATCTGTAATCCACACATTTCCTGCAGTTTGACCTGATGTAAACACCAAAAATAGACACTGCTCTTAATGTGCGGGGTACACTATTGCACATGCACGTCCACACACGACCTTGACATTGAAAGTCCACACACAACAGACCACCTTGAAATCATTGATGGAGAGCATGAGCTCCGGGAAGCGGGGCAGCTGGAAGAAAAAGTAATGACTGGATTTCAGCAGCTGGCTCGGGTGACGCAGGGCATAATCTGGAGGAGAGGAAAGGAGAAGAAAGGGGACATTTAGTTTCTCGACATAATTAAAGGGCAGGTTTCTTGTGGACATGATAACTCAGTGCCTCTCTGTCTGCACCATTTAAACCAGCTGTTCCAGCTTCATATTAGCCTTCTCTAATTAGTGTCTCATCAACTTGCTCTTAATGCAGAGGAGGATTTGCCAGATGGATGCAAACATGCAACTGAAGTAATAACACTTCCTAATTATCATTAATAATTACAGTAATAACCCAAGAGTCAAACCAGAGCTTCTCTAATTAGCGTGGAGAATACTGATTTTCCAGCACACCGTCCTGAAATCATACCTGTGAACACAGACGGATGCGGACAGTTGAGAACAATGAGTTTTGTCACCATCTCGGGGTAGTGAATCGCAAACAGCCACGCTATGGTCCCACCCCAGTCGTGGCCAACGAGGCAACATCTGTTGTAACCTTGGAAGAAATAAAACACGAATGAAGGAAGCTGGAAGTCCATTCTAACGTTAAACCTAAGCAACAATCTCTGTGGCTCAAAAGTGAAGCCAACATAGTGAGCAGCAGCAGGGAGGATTTAATGGCTTTGGTTGAAGCTGTATACCGACTGCTTTCTTACATACAGGATGTCAGTGGGGTACTTTGAACTCTTGTTGGGTTGAACTGGATGTGTCTGCAGCATTATTTTACTATGTTTAAGTCATAATATATTTAGTACCGGAGTGCGTTTTGAGCTACAGAACACTTGTTGGCAAATGCAATGGTCATTTTGTCAGATGTCTTCATTCAAATCCGAAAAATAATATATATATATAAACCAAAAATTCACCCAGCGAAATTACATCAGTGTAATTTCATAGCTGTCTGCTGTGCTTGTGCTATAGCTGCAAAATGGTAAATACGATTCATGCAACTGGCCCTTTGGTTCGTAAATGGTCCCTTACGGTTAAAAAAAAAGAGGTTAAAAAGTCCCAAATTGACACAGTGGGTGATGCCACAGGGTCTAGCCACTTTGTTACACTGATACAGTCCATTGTGTAAAAAAATTTTTTTTTAAAAATGCCACTGCCTGAAAATCACTGTTGACTTTCTCAGAGGACATTTACACTCATCAAAGGATGGATTTCATGACATTCAGCCAAATGCTGACCAAAGTCAAGGCTTCAGTCTGATCACATTACTGTTGCAGTTGCTACAAACTGATCCCCTTACCTGAGGTCGCACCATTTACACCTACTAATATGAATCACCCCAGCAGGCCCACTGATGTTGCTTATGCTACAGAGGAAGAGTCTATAATCTTAGACGGGGAACTACATCTGGAAAATAACAGAGCACCACGGCTCTTTCGGCTGTCCGCCTTTTGGGCTGTTAGCAGTTTACTGAAAACGCTGAAATCTGCTACCGACATGGTAACTAGCATAACATGTGTTCTGTGAATGCAGGCAGCTGGGTGGCTCTCATTGGCTCTAAGAGTTGATCACAGATTAGAGAAGAGCAGTTATCAAACAATCAGTGCTTTCCTTCTTCCACTGAAATGACCATTAAGTGATTTGCTCAGCAATGTGCATGACTGAGTGCTTAGCTCCCAAAAACCTGTTAGGTAATTGACCGGGACAGCCAGAACAATGTAACGAGATGCAAAACATCGTGATAGAACACTTGTGGCTTTTTAAAAAGCTACAATATAAAAAAAAAAAATCAATGGTTCAATTTAATTTGTGCAGTGCACAGAGCGTTACAGACTGATTGCAGTTCCTTCCAGCATTTCAAAGACGCACAACCTCTCAGCTTAATGTTTTGATGTTACAGGCCACAGCTTGACTGTTGTGGTCGAGTTTCACCTCTCATTGATTCGATTTATAGCTGCAACAGGCAGCTGCAGAAAGCTTTGTTTAATCCTTCCATTTTCCTGACTGCTTTTCCAATCCTTGATCATCCAGTCACTACCTGAAGGATAAAAGAAAATTTGAAACATAACACTAAACTGAAGAGCCAGATATGACCTATGAATGACTTTGAAGTAATGAAAATGTAAATGTAACACATGATGTGATCACAAAGTTCACCAACTCCAGGTGTTAAAAAAGGAAAGTGATCTGAAAATGAAAGTAGGGCTGGTAAAAGCTTTTCCTCAGCAGTGATAGTTTTTTTTTTTAATTTTTATGGTTTGGGTTGCAAAATTTTATGATCACTCCTCATTTGTTTACCTCAGAAAAGTTTAAAAGGCAGAATTACGTCAGTGTTTAACAATGTTTACGCCTTCTTCTGTCACATTTAACTGATTCATCTTTGATTATTAGGTACTTGCTGAGTCCTGGAAATTTCAACAGTGCTACAAGGAAACTTAAATGGACAAGAACAAGAGCGTCAGATAACCAGAAAGGTTGTAGGCAGCAGTTTAGAGAGATTATTTGAAGCCCTATATTTTAAGTTCAAACTGCATTTGAAATGAAAATGCTGCTAACAGTTCCTCTGCCTTTCGTGTGTCTTCCATTTGTGTTTGGCTACCATGGAGGAGTGCGACCGACAGAGTTTCATGCCCACGTTTTGGTTCATTTTAACCGTGTGTCTGCGTTTCCAGATCTACAGAACTCCTACAGTAAAATATTGCTGTAATAAAACAGAAATTTTCTTTGATACTGAAAAGAGTGAAGAAAGCACCTCAAAGACTATGCAGGAAAATCAAGACACGACCTTTTCGGCTTCCTTGTAATTGACACTGAAACAGCCGTGTTAACACATTTAGATGTGAGGCGACAGGTGTGAAGGAGAATGAAAGGGCTCATGTCCACTGAACACAATCTTCAGCGACATTTCAGGGCTGAGACAGATTACCTGATAGAGTGCGTAAGCCGTGCTGTAATGACAGGAAAAACACTGAGATACGTTGGCCAGTTAAAGAGCAAAAACTGTCATTCTGGCCAGATAATCATTAGCTGATATGTGCACACCACCTCAGGCTAGCTCCCTGCCAGTGTTAGCACGCAGTCAGCAGGCTTTGGGCTCTGTATCTGCAGTGTCCCATGTTCACTTAGAATGAGTCACAGGAAGTTTGTCATGCCGTGCTGCAGGCCTGAAGGCTGTCCACGGCGTAACATTGATAAACAAGTTTATTTTTGACCCAAGTAGCTGTCAAAACACTCTCCGCTCCTCGGACTGATTCCGAGATTACAGGCACGCAGTTCTCCCGTGTTTCCTCACCTAAGTACTCCACAATATCTTTGACATCCGTGACCAGGTATTCGAAGCGGTAACTCTCAGTGGAGAGCGGCAGGTCGGACTCCCCGTAGCCCCTCATGTCGATGGCCACCACACGAAATTCACTCTTGAACTCACGCAGCTGGTAACGCCAGGAAAACCTGAGGCACACACACATTTGACAAATATTATTGACAAGACGATGCAGGTTAATGCCTGTTTCTCATGGATATAGAGATTTTTCAATTTAAGTTTATTGGCATTTATATTACATATAATACATAAGTAGGTAAAAACAAAATCACAGTTATATAACAAATTATCAAAAGCTTTCAAAACGGATCTAAAATTAGACTTCAAACCTTCAAAGAAACCTTATAACGGGGACAGTGTTTAATGTCTTTAAAAGCGTGAAGATAATGTGTCATTTATACAGCTAAGGAGCAAGAAAGTAATTTGTGCCCAAAACACTTTATGAACCCCTTCTACAGTCTTACTTTTGCTCAAACATTCATTCATTTTCTACTATGGTGGATTTAAAGCCCATTCTCCTCTTTAAGGGGTTCTTCCATTTCTCCTAATGTAGTTAGACAGCAACATCGCACTTCAAAACAAGGCAGTTGAGGTGCTTCGGGCACCTGACTAGCATGCATCCTTAATTCCTAGAGATGTTTTAGGCATGTCCCACTGGGAGAAAACCCCAGGGCAGAGAGATTATATCTCTTGGCTGGCTTAAGACAGTGTCCCCCTGAAAGAGGTGGCCAAGAAGAGCGAGATCTGAGTATCTCTGATTAAACTGCTGTCTGACAGAGACCTGAATAAGTAGCAATAAAGGTATGGACATATGGATGATTTGCGTAATAAATTATTTTCTCTCTTTAGGGTAAATATGTGTGTTTTTAACAATTCTAGCAACTTCCCTGGTTTTCTGAACTCACGTCTCTTCTCAGGATTAGCATGAGAAGCACAACAAAGTAAACACTCTATGTTTTCTATGGCGACGTACGGCATTTATCCATCATGCCTCTTGATAAAGGACTTTTGCTTAGGACACACCTGTGCTTCCTCACTCCTAGCTCCTCCACAAGCTTTCTTTCTCCTTCAGGAGCAATTAAGGAACTGATAGCTGAAGGAATATAATTTCCAGGCCACAGAAGGTGAGAAGATGCAAGGAAGGATAAGTTAACAAAATGGAAAGCCTCTTGTTTGTCTTTTTATCTCCAGTCCCAGAGTCTATGACACAGACTCTTTCTGTTAAACATCTGGAGTCTCTAAGTCCAAACAGCACATTATGCAAGTGTGTTCACAGGCCTTTCCCCGCGATTACGATTCTTACAAACCAACTTTGCAAACTCTCTTTTAGAAACTAGCACTCAGCTTTCTTTCCAGCTGAGTGAAGGTCACCTCTGGATAATAGAAGCTGTTTTAGATTCTAATCCGCCCACTGATGTGGACTGGGATGACTTCCTAATTGAAGATCTTGTCAGCCCCCCTCCTCCTTGTCCTCTTCCTCCTCAGCCGAGTAACGGGGGGAAAAGCAAAATGCAGAGCCCTGTCTGTGATTCTGATGAGTCAGGATAAGATCCCGGCTCTGAACCCTTAGATCTTTGAATACAGAAGAGGGCTGAAGGAAAATAAGCCCCTTGCAGCCCTCCATCCCCCTCCTGAACACAAAGTCTCATCTTTCTTATTTCTGAAAGGGAATTAGCACATTTTAAAAAGCACTCTTTCCAAGCACCTCAGTACAGTTTCATCGTTCCTCTGAAGGATATGTCAAGTGAAGCAGAAAGAGCTCCCCTCTACCGTTAATTAATCCCTGTCCTGTCCGCAGCTTAGATAGCATGCTAGAGATATGGACGGGCTTACAGTTCTTGACAAGCTCTTTGGCCCTGATCCAGACGCAACACTCAACATCATTTTTCATTTCATATCAGGAGGAAGAGAGCTTGAATGCTTTGGACCCCTTTCCCCCGATGGCAAATCATGTCTGTGAATGAGGACTCCTCTCTGCTGGCTTGGATTTGTTTTTGCAGGCCCACAGCCAGATCGCAGAGATTTAACACTGCTGCTGAGCAAGGGAGGAATCCTCATAGTGGAAATTTTAGAGAGATGACCAGTGCAGCAAATACCAAATACAACTGCACAACACAACATCTTACAGTCTGGTTTAGAGAAGCTTTTACTGTTACTCTGACCCTGATTTGCCTCTGACCTACCAGAACTCAGGGAAGCCGTGCAGAAACAACATGAGGGGCTTTCCTCTCTCACCAGCAGCAACATAGTGGAACCTGAGGCCAGACTCCTGCACAGAAACAAGACACACAAAGACACATTTGCACATGAACAATTCAGCCGTCACTTTTATCCAAAGCCATTTAGTGAACACAACGGAACAAGCCAGCGCTCCTAAGTGACTGTTACTGAGGGGAGCTGCAGGGAAAACTACTACGGGGAAACAAGACAGGAATAGCTCGTTTTCTTTTGAGCCATTAAATAAGAATCAGTGTATCACAAGCTTGTAAAATCATGTTTACTGGACCTGAAACACTCTTGTGAATTTGTTTCTGCAGAATACTAAGTGCTCTAACAAACTTCAAGACTCCTTCAGGAAATGTTTGTAGACATTTAAATGTACATGTGTAATTTCAACACAAAAGAAAATTATGACAACACCTGCCCACATTTCTTACATCCACATTTAATCTTCCTAAATAATCTAAAGTGCTTTAATATGCAAATGTTTCATTTTGAAAGTTTAAAGACAAGACAAGCAGTGTCCCCAATATGTCAAACTAAAGGCTCATGAAAGATAAATAAAATTATGCAGAAGACACCTACAATATTTCCATCTGATGGAAAAAGTGAGAGTAGAGAAGAAGAACAAGTTAATGTAAACGCTTGTGTTTAAATAGTTGGAAGTTCATTAGATTTAACAGGGTTTGATTTTTTAAATCTTTTTAAGAAACATATCAAAGCTGTGCCTCAGAAATGTGGGGATTTTTATTTTTTTGCTTTTCTTTCTCATATGTCACTGTTTGGGGTTCTGAGAAAGAACAACAAATACTTTAAGTGCGCATTGTAGGCTTGAGATTATTGAAGCATCTCTACACAAGGCAGTCAGGTGAATCAAAAACAGGAAAATACGGCTTAGACCTTTGCAATAAACTGGTGACCTGCTCTGGGCGTAACCTTCCTCTCACCCTACAACAGCTGGAATAGATTTCAGCATTAAACAGAAGCAAAGAGGAAAGCTGCGCAATAGCGGGCTGACACAAAAAGTCCCCTACTTTACTCTAAAGTCCTTAACCCACCTGAAGCTTCAGGTTCCTGCACTACACTTGTGTAAGCTACATGCAGGACTGCTTCCTTAGTTGTGATATCACCAAACTCCTGCTTCTACAGACATGTTGCTAAGATGGATTTAAGTTGGGCATATTCTAGAGTCAAAGTCAGCTGATAAAGTTGAATTGATTGTTCTTGATAAAGTTCAGTAGCTCAAGTGAGATAATAAGAAGCCAAAGGTGTTTCTGTTTTTAGGCAGTGGGGGCAGATTTAGTTCCTATTTAGCAAAACGAAGCATTGTAACAAGAAACTTCAGGGTCACTTTATTGTGCTTGCTCTGCTTGGTTTAGAGGCTTCGCGGCTACACTTAGGATCAAATTGCAGGTGATGCGAAATAACATCCGCAGTAATCATTATATTAAGAAAACCGAGTATCAGACAGGTACTTGTATATTGAATGATTTTGTTCTAATACATATAGTTTTATAATTCTGTTGATGAATTTTATGTTACATGTTGAAATGAAATGGGTGTTAGCGCACTTCAAAATGCTACTGCTTGGACTAGAGTCTATTATAAAACAAATCAAATACAAAGAAAGCAATATTATTGGGCTATTTAAAGAGAAAGACAATCCCCCACAATCCCCACCTTGAGGTGTTATTAAGTGTCAGATAGAAAAGCTTCTCTGTTTTTATTTAGTGGGGATTAGGTGCTTTGGAGGCTCTTTCTCTGACTATATCAGAAAACCACAGTCTCTGCAGATTTAGCAAATATTAGGATAGATTTCTGAGTGATGTGCTTTTTGGATGGTCAGCAGGATTTGTGCTGATCTTTCCAATGTGTTTGAGTATGTGTACAAGTTTTCTTTGTGTGAGCAGGATAGTTATAAATATTATTTTTTCTGTTGACACTGTCAGTGAGCTGGACAGACAGAGCAGAAATGCAGGTTTTCCCTTCTTCATATTGAATTTTACTTACTATTTTTAGCCTCTCATTGTGACATGGTGGGACAGTGGTTAGCACTGTCACATCACAGTAAATCCTCCGGACAGCAGAGGGTTTCTGTGTAGAGTTTGCATATTTTCCCCATGCCTGCAAGCTCCCTCTGGATACTCTAACTTCTTCCCACGGTCCAAAGTCATGAATTTTAGGTTAAGTGGTGATTCTAATTGGCTATTGGTGTGAATGTGAGTGTGAAAGGTTGTCTGAGAAGGTGATTGGCTGCAGACTCCCATCTCTGCAGGACCTGTACACCTCCAGGACATTGCGGCGTGCAGCTCGGATCTCAGCTGACCCTTCTCACCCTGGACACAGTCTGTTTGACCTGCTCCCCTCAGGCAGGAGGCTCCGGTCCATTCGCACCAGAACCTCTCGCCATAAGAACAGTTTCTTCCCCTCTGCTGTTGGACACATGAACAATAACCATATGACTGTTCCCACCAATAACACATGACCCTACGCTGTGTCACTGCATCATTCCATGTTTGGCACTGATCACCACCTGCACTCATGTATATATCTTTCTACGTAGCACTCTTAATTCTTATTCTCATGTATATATCTCATGTATAGCTCATGCACATATCTTTCTACGTAGCACTTTTAATTCTTATCCCTACTTTTATTTTTTCATGTCTATTTAAGTGCTATTTATGACACTATTTAAGTGCTATTTATGACACCATGTTTGCACTGAAGCACCGCAGCAATTTCCTAATGTTGTAAACCTGCTCAACATTTGGCAATAAACCCCTTTCTGATTCTGATTCTGATTCTGTCTCTCTGTATCAGCCCTGTGACGGACTAGTGACACGTCCCGGGTGTACCCTACCTCCTGCCCTATGACAGCTGGGATAGGCTCCAGCGCAACCCTGAATTGGATAAGTGGAAACAATGGATGGAGTGGATGAATGGTATTATGGATGGATATTTAGCTGTTCACCCCAATTCATTTTAATATTTGATCAAATTTTATTTGCAATTTTATGGTTCTGTAAAGTAATCTGCTTCCATGGACATATACTTCCAGTACTTTTTTCTTTCTTGTATGGTTACACGTCAGCAGATTTATTCTGTTCACTTTAATTATTTCCCCTGCACCGTGTTGTTTTCAACCAAACCCTTCATGCACTGTGCTCACTGTAGATCAGATTCATTTGCTCATGGAAAACTTTGGTTTATGATTAAGAAGCACATGCTTTAACAGGCACATATGAGTGTTCTCGCGCTAAAACAGTGTACATGTATTGCTTGAAGACGTTTCACCTCTCATCTCGGATGAGAGGTGAAACGTCTTCAAGCGACTTAAAGAAGTCCAGACGCTTTTCTTTGCAAGCTCCTTTGACTACGATGACCTGGATGACTGAGAACCTTCACAGACATGTATTCTAGTACTTGTTTAAGGTATTTGTCATTCTCTGCTACTTTTGTGGAACATTTATTTTTAAACACATTGCTATTCTCCAACAGATCATGAAGTAGATCAGATTTCCTTCTTATATTAATACGTTCCTAATGACAATCCCATAATATAAGAATGACAGGTACATGCTGCTGTACTTGTCATGCTTTAAGTACATCTTGTGTTGGTAGTCATTCCGAAGTCTAGGATGTGAATAATTCTTCCACCCCTCACATCGGGACATGCTTTGATATTTTAATTACATAATCCTGAACACACACTGTAGGTTGGTAGTTAGAGGCTGGCAGCACGCTGCATGCAGAGACGTGAGGCGGAGGAGCTGTTCTTTCAGCACCACCTGAGCTCCGCGCCAGCAAGCCTTGACTCCACCAAAAACATTACAAATAAATAAATAGAAGCGCTTCGCAAAAACAAACAGACGCTTCGAGATTGTGCTAAAACATCGGGCCCCGTTTGGATTTTCACGACGCGACACGGCGGAAAGGTGTTGAGGCGGTTTTTTTTTTGCTTTTTTTACACGTGAACACCCTGGCGTCCGTACACACACATACACACACAAAGGCTGTTACCCTAACAGACACCTTTCATGTCCAAGTGCGTGCGCGTCTCTTACCTTGATCCTAACATAACAGTGGGTTCCCAAGGACGTGTCATTCAGACAAGCCGGGGGAGTTTCACGAATCACCCATTGGAAGGTTGTTGTCGGCCTTAAAACGATGTTCCACCAAAGTTTCAGCAGGGCTACGATGGCGCAAAGAGCACAATAACCGTATATCAATGACCAATACCCCAAAACTCTGATTTTCAGCGCAAGACTGATTAAAAATATCAGCAAGTTGTGGAGCACTCTCGCCATCTTTACATTGCCGCAGGAAATCAGCCCGGATCACGTTACCTATTGATTGATTTCTGTTAACTGGTCGTTTCTGTTTAAACACCGCTCTGACAATGCCGTCGTTTCTTTACCAGCGCATACGCACGACTGTCTGAAGGGAGGATCCCAACAAGCGGCTGAATGGGACGGTGGCAAGAGCATCACGTCAGATTTCACGCGTGCGTGTGACAGCCGTGGCTGTTTGGCAGGAGACCGTGTTGTTGACTATACAAGGCAAGTCCGAAATCGAGCAATAAGCGTCTCGATGCGGAGCTTTACGTTGATTTACATTGAACAGCTAAGAGGCGCTGTTAAGCAGCAAAACCTCCGGAGGAAAAAAAATCACTGCAAAGCACCACGGCTTCACGCTGTTATGGCAACAAAGCTGCGATAAAAAAGAAAAAAAAAGGTCTGCGTGACTTCAGCTCATCATCAGTGAAATAATCCCCGTTATTTTAAATTATCTCACCAAGCGCTTCATGAACAATAAGTGGCGGTTTCCCGGTTTAATTAGCAGGTAGGCTGTGACTGCGCATTGATATGTTAATGAGATGCGGTGTCACAGGTGTGTGGCTGTCAAGTCTACTAAATCACACACGGACACGAGCAGGTCAATTATTCCGTTAGAAAACCGAAGCGGGGACCGGATAACACACATCAGAGGCCAGTTAACCGACTTTGGACTAGCTTAACCCCTCACGTGGCTGGATATGTGGAATCGATAAAGACGCTCACGCGAATATATGGAGGCCCAACCATGGCAAAATGAAGAAATCCTTTCCCCAGCTATTCACAAGGGGTCGCTACAGCGGGCAGCTCCACATATTTGATTTGGTAGATTTGTTACACCTTATGCCCCTTCTGAGGAAACCCTCCAAGGGCTTTGATTCTCCTCTTGGATCAAACCGGATCCAGGCGAATCTGTAAATCGCACTAGTAAAATTAAACAGGATTTATATTTTAAAAACATAAATTGTAAAAAGAATTATCCTAACACTATTTGCACTTAAGGGGAACAAACTACAGTTAAGTTTTATTTATATGTTTAACTCAACAAATTTAAACTTAACAAATGTTTTGCCATCTCACCCTGAACAAAGCTTGTGTGATCATCAGTGTTTCCCTCTGCCTTTAAACTCAGCTTTAGTTATTTAGCCAACAGGAGGTCTGTTACTATATATCTAGTCTCCCACATTTTGATTGGTCTACTAACTCTTAAACATTTTGTTAGTTTGGATGCTTCATTGTAAATCCGACCCAGAGACGCTGTGAGAGAAACATTTTAACAGAACACATTCTTTAAAAAGCAAGGATGGCACCAGCATTTCATAAACAGTTTTGTTCCTGTTTGAAATCTACCCTACATGATGTTTCTTTTTTAAATCCAAGACTTTAATCAAGCTCTGCACAGAAAAAAAATACATAATGCAATAGTAAACCTATACTGAATAGATATGTTCATATATGCCTGAAGCACAAATACTGATTTCTACCCCTTTTTAGTCATTTATTTATTTTTTACATTTACCCCTCTATTTTACTTATGGGAATACTACAACATATTTACAGCTACATCACATTTATATTGTAGAAATTTACTAATACATTCAGACATTTAGATTCTAATTTTAATGCATTTAAGAGAATAACCTCATCTATAATTAAATCCAATTGATTTATCAAAAACTCATCACTAATTAATGGATTATCAATATTCATGACTGCACTATTACCAATGCAGTTATGAATAGTAACTCCAAAGAGCATGTGGTTGATTTTAACAAAGAATGGAAACAGTTCTTAGATATGTTTCTGTATTCATGAAAACATTAAAAAAGTATATATTCTGTGCTTGGCTAAATATCAAGCACAATATAAAAGTTCAAGTTTAATAATTTCTTGTGTAGCTTTATCCGTGACAGCATAAATAATGTGAACTTGACACACACACACACACACACACACACGTCAAGCTCCTTCATATTTCATCAAGTTAATAAATAATTAGTGTAGAAGATTGTGTGTGGAGATGAAATTGTTTAAATAATATACCTTTAGCTAATTTGCCCTGCCAGCAGTTGGGTTTTATTTTGCACTCTGACATGACATGCAGCACAGCAACCATAACTAAATGAAAGAAAACTTACCAGTGGTTGTGGTGCATGCTGGTAACCATATGATTAGCTCTTGTATGGATTTATGGGGGATCATCTGCATTATGAGTAAACTGCATCTGTGCAGTAACCTGATATTTTGATAAAGTGATCCAGACTGTTTAGTGAAAAAGGTTTATTGAGTAAGAAAAAACTGCATGAATAACAAAGTGCCTTGCATGTACAGCTAACACAATATTTGGCATTTCAAGTACTCAAGGAACTGAGAAGTCAATTGCACAAAGAAAACTTTGGTACTATAATATTTTTTCCTGGCTCAGTTTAAAAAATAAAAATAAAAAAAAATCCAAGAATATTTAAGAAAGAAGAAAAAAGTCAGTGTGTAAACATGCTACAGTGTTCTGTTTACATTTCAAGTATATTTAAGTCAGTATTAACAAAACCACGGTAAACACTTACAGGACATTAACATATAATACCAGAACAACCGCTGCATGTTTAAGTAGACAATGCAACAAGGTGGCATTGAAACTGCAGTACATGGGATATGAACTAGCTTACTGTGCATATCTTACCTCTGAACAGTAGAGAAAAACATAACTCTTTTATGAAGGCACTTTAACCCTAGTCAGGCGAAAATCCAGAGGGCACTAGTGCAGGCATTTATCAAATGCTAAGTAAGGACTAAATCCATTTGCACTTAAAGCCCCTTTAAGATGTGCACGACTTTACATTCACCTGATGGCGCCTCAACATTTTGTCAAGTTGTGCCAAAGAGCACCTGGTCAGGTTTCCGTAATGCTTACAACATCAATCTCGCCAGGTCTTTCCCACATCTTTGGGATGCAATAACATGTACATAATAGCATTTGTATCTCAACAGTTTAGTTTCAAAAGTGCATTAAGATTAAAATGTTCCTCTTTTAATCCTCTCAGCAGCACTATAAAACAAACAGAAGGACATACCGTGCAGAGAAAACTAAAAATTTTTTTCCAACTACTCCACTAAATAAAGACGAGCATATTAAAATATGCTTGTTGCAAAAGTGGAAACATTGTGTGTATACTGTGGTTTCCTCCATCGCTGACATGTCCGATCAAACTCTCTGCGTGAACATTAACAAAATTAACTCTTAACAGTATGATGAAATGATGTTTGAAAAGGGCTCAAATTACTACCACCCCCACAAATGAAGCATTTATTTTATTAGGTTTAATGACATGTACAGGGCATCAAAGGGAAAAAAACTATCAAGACATCAAACACGTTTCAGATAAATCTCCGCCCAGTTTAAAGGTCAAGGTCAAGCTCAAATCTAGTCATGACATCCCGTTGCAATGTTAGGTCGATACCAGTCATCTATATAAAAGAGAAAAACAAACAGCAATACAGTTTAACATGATATTTTTTACCAAAATCAAATGAAATGATACAAATGGATCACTGAAACAGATACAGAAGGTACTCACTGCTTCTCGCTTGCGACGTTCCTGCGCTCTTTTGCGGGCCAGCTTTCTTTCTTTATCTAAAGACGACTGTGTGATTAGAGGTTGCCTTTCTTTAGACCTTTGCTGTTCAACATGTTTGGGAGCATCCAAGGGACCTTCTGTGCAAATACTTCCAGGCAAACCCGAAACTTCCTTAACAGGCTGTGGGTTTTGTTCTGATTTACATGGGACTTGTAGACTAGAAGGAGAATACCCAAGTTACTGACTTTGCTCTCTTTCAATCAATTATTATGTTTTCAGAGAGAAAAAATATATATCTTGGCTTATAGCAACTAATACAGGCACTCAGTAGTTTTGGCATCTTTAAAACTTTGGCCAAAAGGCAACAACTGTATGCCAGACAACTTAATTAAATCTACCTGTTAATTTAAATTCACATCGAATGCTTTAACTATTAACTGTGTGAACACCTGGTCTTTTCAGGAGCCTCGATCTTTTTGCTTTCATCCAACAATTTCTTTTTCAGTAGTTTTTCACGAAACATCTGGAAGATCTCTTTTGAGGAATTGTTTGGAGGTAGCATCACCCTCTCTCTCGGTCTTCCCAATCTCACCCAAGGCTCGGTGTTTTTCACCACAATATCCTAAGCAAGGAAAATCACAATGTTTAGATACATTCACTTCAAACATTGGTGTGCATTTGTTGGCATCAACCAGCTAGGTTTTGGCCACTAGAGGGAAAAAACACAAAAAAAAGTTAAGTTGTAATAATTTAATGCCTTCTGGTGGTGAAAACAGCACATTTGAAAGTATTTGCACCACTTTCTAATGAATAATGCACATAAAAAGCAGCACATCCTTGAACATTGATATAATTTCCAGCTATATCAGCACATAAAAGTAAGATAAATGATCATGACAGTTTTCTGGAGTATTAAACCAACCTTTTTGGGAATTTGGGGTTTTTCACCCTCAGCAGATTTACTCGCAGCATCAGTGTTAGGCACATTAATCAACTGCTTGTCAGGAAGATCTGCAGTGTATCTGAAATCTGCAATAATAAAGTTAACATTTCCTAACATTATGAAGAAAACGGTAGTTTTTAAAGATGGTGATGTAATAATAAGTGATTTAAAGCGACTTACTGGGTGTTATTTCGTCTTTGGATTGCAGAGGGCTGTCTCCAAGAGGGGACAGCACTGGACCCTGCAGGAAAAGCAAATTTTGTTTAAAAACCATAGCTTTCAACTATGACACATGGAATGGGTGGGTGCAGTTTTTTCCACGTGGCTAACTCATGCACTCAAATTATGAAGGCTCCAAATTGCTGAGAAAAAACCCCCAAACAAACAAAACATATCCCTACATAATGCAATAGTAAACTGCTGCTGGGAAAGATGGCAGATTCTGCTAGACTACACGTTCTTAATAAAGGTCTCTTCATTATCATTTCAGGCACGTTATTTTTTTAAATCAGCTGCTGGTACTGACGTTGGCCTGTTCATAGTAGTTGCAGCACATGCCTACACATATTTCCTAACATATGATAAAACATGTATCTAATATCTACCCCAAAAGCTGTTACAAAGCAGATTTTGTAAAAGTTGCCTTTGTGTGCAGAAATGTGCCTTTTTTGACGTACCTCAAATCTTGCAGCAGCCCAGTCCAGTAGCTCTATGGGAGATCCCATGGGGGATAAAAGTGCAGACAAATCTGGACAAACAGTAAATTACAGGAGTTCATTCTCAACTCATTACAATGACACAAGAAGCAGATTTCTGCACATTTATTTAAACACATGTGCTACTATTGAGTAAAACCAACTAAAGGCAAGCATGAGTATTATATTCCAAACCAGGAGCGGGGGGAGGGTAAGGAGGCGCTAGTTCTT